AGAAGGAGGAGGAAGCTCCAGTCGGAGCAGTGAAGACGGCGCGGGGCAGGATGCCCATCCCGCCGTGCAGGATGTTGCTAGATCCATGGATATGCGCCCCGAGGAGGTGATAGGAATTCCCGAGGAGCTGGAGAAGGGAGTGAAGATCGTGATCGAGAGGCACCGAGCAAAGGTGGTGAGGGACAAGAAGTCCCGGAGCAAGACAAGACCCGTGGGAATGGCTGTGGAAAGGACAGGTCCAGGCGGTTCTTCCCACCCCCAGCAGGAAATAACTGCTCCCAACGACACTCAGAGTGCTGGAGCTGCCAGCAAAAAGGGGAAAAAAAAGAGTTTAAAGGCAATAAAAAAGCTTGAAGAGGCTCCAGACTGCAGGAATGGCTCTGGGGACATCATCCAGCAGGAGGGAAGGCCCAAATCCCTGGCAGGAGAGGAGCAGGTGCACCTGGAACTTGGTGTGGGATGTAAAGCTTCTCTGTCTGCTTTGCATCCCAAGAACCTCCATCTGTCAGTGAGGGAAGCGTTGGGAGGACACAGCCAAGGGACAGCCAAAGATGAGCTCAGCAGGCTGCAGGGGCTCAGGGACAGCAGGAAGCAGATGGTTGGAATGTCCAGTCCCATCCTGGACACAGGGACAGAGCTGCAGTCAGCTCTGCCTGGGCACCACACCCCCAAGCTCCAGCACACCTGTTCCCCTGGCAGGAGCCCCTGGGCAGGTGCCATGGGCTTGGAGTGGTTTCCAGACTTATACCCTAGTTATGACGGGCTGAACATTTTTCCAGGGAAGCACTTCCAGGAGGATGCTGGGATCATAGTGGAGACACCGAGGGGAAGTGTCACAGAGGGACAACAAGGTAATGTGGAGAGCAAAAGTCTCTGTGCTGAGGTGGCTGCTGTGAGGGGGACAGGAGGCTGGGAATGCTGGGCTTGGGATCCAGGAGAATCCAAGGAGGATAACTGTGCCACCCCCAGCCTGAAAACCAAATGGATTAGGTTGTTATTTAGTCTGGAGTCAAACTCTTGGATATTTGGGCTGGTGGAGCCCAAACTGTGTGGGAGAGATGATTCCCTCTGCCTTTCCAAGCCCAAATCCCATGCCAGCTCCTGTCTCCCAGCACAAGGAGTGGGAACAGCACAGACCTTGCCCTCTGTGTCCCCTCACAGGCCTCCTCAAGGAGAGGCACCTCATGGAGGTGAGGCTGGGGGAGCTGCACACCTGGCTGAGCACCTGTGACTTCTCTCCCCAGGGGCTGCTTGGAGGAGTGCACAGAGGTGAGAATCCTGGGGTTTGGGGGTAGGGGCAGAATCATCCCCATTCCATGATTTAGGTTGAGCCAAGTGGCCTGGCTGTGTCTTTATAAAGTGAATTATGGAATGGTGTGGGTTAGGACATTAAAGATGTCCTACGATCATTAAAGATGACGTTCCATTTCACCCCCATTCAACCTGGCCTGGAACACTCCTAGGGATGGAGCAGCCACAGCTGCTTGGGAAACCTGTGCCAGTGCCTCAGCATCCTCACAGCATCCCAGCCCCTCCCACTATCCCCTTATCTTTTTCCCTCTGTGAATTACCAAACCCAGTGTTTTGACTGTGGAAAGTTGCCTGGAAAAGCAGAGAATTCCCTGATTTGCCCTTTCCCTTCTCTCCACAGCCTGGAGCAGTGTCCATGGCAGGTACCTGGGCATGAGGAGAGGAGCACCCACAGGGCTGTGCCTGCTGCTGGCTGTGTCCTGCCTGCTCAGCTACTCCTACCACTACCAGCACTTCAGTAAGAGCTCACAGGGATTTGCCCTCTCCAGCACCTGGGAAGGCTGTTTGCCACTCCTGTTCAGTCCTGCTCAGGAGGGACTGAAATCCTTCAGATTTAGGACTAGAGTTAGTCTTAGATATATAGATAAGAATATAAAAGACTATATGAATCTATGTATTTCTATTTATTTATTCCTATTAGGACATATTTAGGGTTCAGAGCAAAGTGTCCTTAGGCAGTCAGATGAATTTAGCTAATCCAAGTGTAGTTTCTCCCTGGGGAGCTCCAGCTCTGCCAGGAGCTCTCTAACCCCTTCCCAGAGCAGCAGAGCTCCCATTCCATGGATTCCCTCCCACCTGCCCAGGGCCTTGCTGAGGGTTGGGTGGTTTCCCCTTGCTCTCCTGCCCAGAGAAGCTGCAGTGAGGCTCCTGCTCAACCCCCTGAATCCCCAACACACCTTTGTGCTGACTCTGGAATGGTTTTCCCTGTTTTCCAGAGGGTCATCGCTGGCGCAAATACCACTGAAGAAGCTGGAGCAGCATCAGGAGCAGCCAGAGGCCCTGGGAGGCAGCAGCAATGCCCAGATCCAGTGGCACACAGCAGGGATTCCAGCAGCAGAGGCTGTTTGCTGTCAGAGCAGGGTCTGAGCTGCTGGGGTTGTTCCGCAGAGTCCCTTGTGTAGCAGAGAGGTGACAGTGACAGTGTGGTCCCCACTCCACATGTCAGGAAGTTTTTTAGTGATGGCTACAAAGCCTTGGAGCCACCCCTGGGAGATGTGTGTGTGCAGGAATGAATGGATGAACTGTCTGTGCTGGAGCCGAGTGCTGGCAGTGAGGTTTGGGCTAGGTTGTGCTCCCATCCTAAAACCATTCCCACAGATCTGGGATTGGCACTGCCCAGTTTGTACTCACCCCTTGTACTGGTGGCACTGGCCAGGAGCTTTGAGAAGGCATGAAAGCAGCAGCTCAGCCCACAGTGGCCTATTTCTGGGGCAGAAAAATCTATTGGCTGAGCTGTTGTGCCCAAGGGGCAAAGCCAAGTCTGCATCAGCCAAACCAGGACACTTAGGAGTGCTAGTTGGAGCCTGCCATTCCCAGACATGTCTGGGAAAGGGTTAGTCATGTTAAAGGCATGAAGGGGAAGAAAATAGAGCCAAGAATTAAAAAATCTCAGCTCTTTATTCATCAAGATGTCCAAGGTGTTACACCAAAACACTCTAACCCCAAGGGGCAAAGCCAAGTCTGCATCAGCCAAACCAGGACACTTAGGAGTGCTAGTTGGAGCCTGCCATTCCCAGACATGTCTGGGAAAGGGTTAGTCATGTTAAAGGCATGAAGGGGAAGAAAATAGAGCCAAGAATTAAAAAATCTCAGCTCTTTATTCATCAAGATGTCCAAGGTGTTACACCAAAACACTCTAACTAGAAACCTTGGT